TGTAGTTCCATTCAATACTTAAATATTCTCTCGACAATTGTAAGGTGGGACTCCCTTAAATCAAATTGAAACCTTGCACATATACAAACTGTTAGATAAGCCTGGCACCTAAGAAATGGTGAATTTGCTGTTCTTAAAATTTTCTAAAACTTTTTCCTTACCTAATAAGGAAGATGAACAAAAAAAAAATTTTTATGCAGAGGGCTTTATAAAATAAATGAGTTAAAAAGAAGAAGCTTTACTCAAGAAATTTATCTTGGTTTATTACAACTACTTGGCCTACTTTCAGTTCTCAAAATCACACTTGAGATTTCTCACTTTAACCATAAGTTTAAGTTAGTGTAATCCACAATAGTATATCTACAATACTATACCATTATTGATTTTGTAAAAACAAACACTTACAATACCTGTAAGCAATTGATACTTAGGAAAAAATCTTTTAAGATTTCAAACAAAGACGAGAAATATTTTCAAAGTAATGACTTCCTAAAAGAATGGACATAAATACAATTGAAAGCTTATAAACTAGTTGACATCTTTTTCAAAGAAAAATAGATGCAGTTAGTAAGAATTCAATGCAACACACTTAATGCTCAATAATTTGTTACCTACTCACTCAAACAAGGTCCTATTTATATATTGTAATGAAAAGAGATGCTAGGAACCCTCAAAAATAGAATTAGAGTTGTTAGAGATGTGTAGAAGTGAAAGAAAGTAGAAAAATTACTTTTTTTGCGAACTCATTAAATACACTATCAGAACCTTATTCAAGCATGTATGAGGAAGACACACGTGTGTTAGCTCTAAGCAAAAAGGCTTAGTTCACTTCAAGTATGTTCAAGTGTGTAGTCTCACCCAGGCTAGTGTGTATTAAGAGTCATAAGTATTTTGCTTTAAAAATTCTATTTGTTAAAGCTTAAACAAGTGTGTATCATAAAAGGGGCACATATGAATTAGGTTAAGTACAAGTTCAAGCTATCATACTAGGACTAACACAAGCATGTGCTACCTTGTACCCAAGTGTGATTAGATCACAGAATTTAATCTCGGCTAAGCATGAGATAAGCATGTTCTCATGTTGAGTCAAGCAAGTTCTAGGCAATCTTAAAACACTTGCTTTTACTGGAACACTAAAACACGCGGCATCCTATCTAAGACAAGGGTATATTAGAGGTTAGTGAGAAGTAAAGCTTCTAGACACTAAATCAAGCTAGTATTAGTTCCAATACAAGCTTAAACTAGACCTACTAAGTCCTATAATGCATTACTAAAGGCTGAAACATGCTTGTGTCTTATCCAAGACAAGCATGCATTAGACTAAGAATGCTAAATGAACTCTTAGTGTTTGACATTAAAGTTCTAGGACTTGTGAGCTTATGATATGATCTAATATGAAACATTCTTACCATGCAAAGTATGAAATTGCTCTCAAATAGTTTTCACATTGAATCTAAGAGAAGATGAAATAAATAACCTATTTAAACAAAGTCTTATTCTTCATGCTTATGAGGTTTTGTCACTGATGTTGTAATGACTTGATCTATAGAAATAACAAACACCTTTCTCTTAGTTTTATGTTTATCAAAACACATGATTCAACATTCTTTCCCTTTTTAATGATGACAAAACCTCATATCAAGATTAGTTCCATTAAAATAAAATTTGCTTCTCCTTTAATTAGGCATATGAGTTCAATTATAATAGAAACAAATTAATGAAGAATAAAAATATAAAACTAGTAAATGAAGGCAAAAAGATACTTAATAAAATTATAAATTTCATTGGTGAAAAGATGATACAAGAAGTGTTAGCTTAGGTTACATCAATGAAAATAAAAAAATAAAAAATCAATCAACAACAAATTAAGAACAAGGGCAATAACATAACAATAACATTGCTTAATCTCTCTTCCTCTCCCCCTTTGGCATGATCAAAAGAAAGTTAGTTTGTTAGTAACATGCTAGAACTGAGATTTCAATCTAGCCTCTATGATTTCTCTACTATATAGTAGAGTTAGATTGGCAATAGGCACAACATGGGGATTTCAAGCATGGGAGGTAGAGTAGTATGCTCAAGAGGGTTGTATGGAATCATGGTCCAAGTCTGTGGATCTATAGGATGCAACTCAGGAATAGGCTCAAGATCTCCTTGCTCAGAAAACTCTAGATTTACTTTAGCACTAATTTTTCCTCATTCTTTTCCAAACCAATATCAGTTACTTCCCTTTTTCCTGCTTTTCAACCCCTTTTCTCTCGTACCACCTCTTTTTCTTTTTTAGCCTTAGTCTTAGTAGGTTTAGTGAGTGTGAGGATAAAGGTTCATGATTTTAGATTAAAGGGTTTGAAGGTTTATGGGATTTCTTAGTGGTAGCGGACTTCTTCTTTTTGGTGAAGGACTTGTCAAGGTTTAAGTTGTATAAGAGGTTGATTTTGAGATTTTAGTATTGTTAAGTGTTTTTGGTCTGAAGGTTTTTCTCTAGGTTATCAAGGTGCTTGATTACTCTTCAACTAGCATATCAACTCAAGATTCATCTAGAGTTGCCCCAAAATCAATGCTTAGAGAGTGTGTTTAGTTTAATTTTAGAGGAGAAGGAAGGTTTGGGTCAGGCATAGCATCAAAAAGGGATACAACATAACTTTGGTTTGTTGTTTAGGAAAGGTAAGTGGAGTTTGATGTAGATGGAATTGAATGTGATTTTTATGGTGTGTCAAGTTTTACTTTGGTTGGTTATTTAGGTAAGCCAGTAGGTGTGGAAGAGGAGGTTGTAACCACTTTAATTGAGGGCTCCTTTTGTTGCTTGGACATTTGAGGCTCTTTAATTATCTTAGCAAGAAATTCATTCCACTTCCAAACTATGGTTTTCTCCCTTTTTGAATAATTAAGTTGTCATATACCTAACTATCGCTACTTGTGGTAAGTTAGAACTTCCAAACAGATATAACTAATCATCGAGGCCACTCATGGTGTCAGTAAATACCATATAGTTTTTAGCTACTTCACTTAGGGTGAACTCGCAGCCTAACACAATGATCATCCTTACACACACATATCACAAGATCACATATGGTTAACCATGATCAACATGCTAAAGTCATAAATCAAATTCTTAGCATACATATTTACAAATAGATATACAAAGCTTAACTCTTTTTAAACCATTTTCTCACTTCACATAGGTTTCTAAAATCAAACTCTCTCTCTCTCTCTCTTACACAAACACACTACTATGTATTTCACAAACACCTATAAATGATCTAACATGCAAATAAAAGGGTTACCAGTTGATTTTAACTTATTCCTTTAACTTTTACTTGATCAAATAGTATTCGGGCAACAATAATATACATAATTAAACACTAATAATTAATTCTCAACTCTAACATAAGCACTTCTAGCTACCTATAGCTAATCATACCTCATAACTCACACTATCTTCATAACCCAAACATTTATAACCTTACATTAATCTCATTTAACCTTCATAAGGCTAAATAAATCCATTTTATAGCTTAGATCACATCAAACCTTCAATTCATCATTAGATTTTGCTCAAAATCAATGATGTACAACTCTTATAACTTCATAAAAATTCCAAACCTAGGTTTAGAAATATTAAATAGCCCACAATGGCTCTATTAGAACCAATGGGCTCTTCCAAACCTCCCCAAGAACATAAACCATTCACTTCTAACCCTAAAACTTCACTGCGAAAATCACATAGAAGAGGAGGAGAGTAGAGAGGGAAAGTTTCCTTAATGATTTTAAGATAAAAGACATCTCCAGGTAACATCCCCAGTAAACCTTAGCAAAGCCTAAGAGTCCCTCTTGCATTTTTCCCTTCTATTTAAATTGTGTTCTTATGGCCCTTTTTTTTTGGATAAACATGCTCGTGTGACTTTAAAAACCTGATTTCTGACATTACACCACTATGTAAATGCAATATGTCACAATGTATTGCACAATGGGCCTTATTTCGAATTTCTCACCTCAATTTGATCTTAGGTGGCCTAATTCACTTCCTAGCTCATTCTAAGGCTGTCAAATAGTCTAATAGGTCCTTAGTAATATGAAAAGATAATTAACTCAATTAATTCACTATTTTAATAATTTAAATTTAACTATTTTATTAATCTCGGATTAAAAATTTGAAATGTTACAATTGGTATTTAATTTGCTATAAAGGATTTCCAAACAGAGTTATATATCTAATTCATGGTGGTGCTATTGCCACACATGCATATGTCTTATTGGGTGTGCCATTTTTTGTTAGCATTATTTTCTTTTTTGTCATTTTTTTGGGCATGTTGAAGGAGCTAATCCTCAAACGGTGTGATGAACCTAACCTCTAAATCAAATTGTGAGTTCTTGCAGTCCTTTGCCCAAATTTTCTTTAATACAAGTGCTCAAAAATGAAAAATAGAGATAGAGCAAAATGTAAGAATTGTAGAATGAGAGTAACATAGTATTGTTACTATTTTGAAATGAATTATAGAAATTATAAGACAAAAAATAAAGGAAAAATGCTGGAGAAGCAAGGTTGAAGTTCTACTAGGTGGTGTTGTTCTACTACTTATTGGAAACTTGTTATTCTTTTGCTGGATGTGCGCTGCTTCAGAGGAACTTAAAAGGATTTTTAGAAGGAATTGTTTATACCTTGTTTGATGTTGAAGGTGATGAAGAAGGGTTCATATGTATATATGTCTTGCTTCAATTTTCATAGATAAAGGGATAGTTTTCTCTTACCCCAACTTTTTTAAGGCCACTAGTTGTAGTTTCACCTAAACTTTTCACTTCTTCTTATTTGCCCAAAGTGATGCATGGGTGGTTTTGCACCTATCACCCTCCTCCTTGTGGAAGTATGGGTTAAGTTTGGGCTAAAATGAGATTTTAGCTCAAATAAATATTATAATAGTTTCTCTTAAGTAAAATTAGTTTTTTATATAACTTATAACATATATAAGATTCACAAGGGAAGATAAAGGAAAGTTTTCTTGCAGGATTTGACAAGGGGATTCGCGGTATGAAAGTCGAAGGAACGAGAGAACTGAAAATTCTAGCTGAATATTGTCCAAAAAGTATTCGAACCAATTGGAGAGTAAGTATTTCAAACTTGTATGCCAAAACTTTGAAGCATGTATTTTTTTTTATTGATTTATTATAGTGATTGTTATGTTGAAGAACATGTGATATGTGTTATAGTCTTAATTAGTATGGATTTGTTTGAGGGTTTATGAGCAAATAGAATCCTAAACTCTTGCTCGAAAATTGACCTAGATCTTGAACTTTTAAAATATGCAAAATAAATCCTAAACTATTAAATTCATAATAAAATAAACCCTAGCCATTAAATTTTTTAACACCGTTACTGTCTACGCGAGTACTGTAATAGTCATGGTTAAATTTGTAGGAAAATAAACCCTGAACAGTACCTGTGTGGATAGTAACAATGTTAAAAAGTTAACAGTCAAGGTTTATTTTGCTATAAATTTATAAGTTTAGGGTTTACTTTACATATTTTAAGAGTTCAAGATTTAGGGCAACTTTCGAGCAATAGTTCAGGGTCCTATTTACTCATTAACCCTTTGTTTTATAACCTTACAACATATATAAAATGTACTCTCTAATTTAATTTGATAATGTTTATTGTCCTCTCTGTTGCATGATAACAATTGCTTGCAGTTGTAGATTTTTTTTTTGGTTGACTTCTTATTCCTCTGACATGGATTACTTAGAGAGATGCGGGTTAATTGTTATTTAATACCTTTGTTAACGATGAAACCATTTTTCGTAAAACTGACTCATTATATTAGACATTTTTGGTATTCGTCATTATGACTTTCTTGCAATAAACAAGCATGCTTGATTACCACTTGCGACAAAAGAAAAAAAATGAAGTTGTGGAGTTTGATGCTTGTTTTTGCAAGCTCATATTCAAGTGTAAATTATTATTATTATTATTATTATTATTATTATTATTATTATTATTGTACACTTTTGAATTGAGAATGTTACAAGACAGGAGATTAAATATATCCCTTGTTAGGAAAATTATGAAGAGAAGAATATGAACAAATGATTATAGACAATACAATATTCCTTCACTTGACGGATTATAAATCAAATCATTCCATAACTTGGGTTATGAACAAACTCTAAAGAATGTTAACCTCCTTACTTTATAATCCAATGTAGTGCCCTCTAAATATACTTTAGGGTCACCAATAAACTAAGTAATCAACCAATAATCACTCTAATATTCCAACACCCTCTCAAGTTAATACAACTTAAACTTATCAAATGCCATGGCAGCACCTCATGAACCTCTCCTTTTCATCAACATGGATCGTCAATCTCTTCCGAAGCACAATGTTGACAACCCCTCTTTCATTGTCCAAGAAAATAGTGCTATGCCAACCAAGTGAGAATTCAACACCACTATGCCTTTGTCCTTTGCCTCACTACTGTTTGAAATCCATCCTCTTGACTTTTGGGTTTCCAAGTTATGACTATGCACGTATTAATATATTTGAAATTCTAAACAATGATGCTACAAGCAATTCCAACATTGATATGTATTCAACACAACTATGTTCCTCCAAATTTATGCAGTGAAATGAGTGAAAACACAAAACACTTTAAATCTCTTGAGCAAGGTAATAGAAGATGCCAAGATCTTCAGGATCTGAACTAATCTAGACATTCATGAGAGATCCGATCTTGAATGTTGTGAAGGAAATATGTTCATTTCCCATCACAATCTCCAGAGTACTTATTATGAGGATCAATGGAAAACTCCACTTTGATCATGTTTCACTAGACAAGGGATCAAGAAAAAATGTAACCACTTTGATAGAAACTAATGTCTCGTCAAAATGTCATTTGCAAGAGCTGCGAAATATTGTCTTGTAGCAGACAGACTAGCTTCTTAATAATAAAACTTTTAACAATATCAAGACCTTTATATTTTGAATTGAAACCTAGATCCTTATAATATGTGTACCGAATAAGTGGGGATAACTAGAATAAAGCAGAGAGGAAGACAATAGCAGATAGCAACAGGATGAAAATAGTGTTGTAGATTTTGGGGGCCGCCAAGAGAGCATTTTGACACTTGTGGGGAAGCTATCAAAAGAAGATGATAAAGATGAATCCCACATAATCTTAATATTGTAGCGAGCAAATCCCAGGTCTCTGCTTGTGAAATCTGGGAATGTATAATAGCCTTAAGAATATCAATCTAAGAACCTGCTTCATTCCTAGGAAGGTTGCTTTACTAGAAAGGTTGTGAAACCCAGGGTAGAACGGAAGAGGTTAATATATACTTAACAATATACTTCTTTGGTTCCACTTATAGGTCAGCGAGAGTATTTATTTTGGTTGGCACTTCAATGATTGTAATGTTCATCTTTACCATTTTACCCCTATTAAATCTGGGGAAGTTTATTAAATGCTATAGTAATTTATTTTTAAAGTAGGTATGTTTAGTAGGGGTTAAGTTGAAAACTTGTTGAATTTTTAAATATAATTAATGAGGTTTAATGTCTTCTTTGGTTTTAAAAAATTATTGGATGAGATTTATAAATAGGACCAGAGAGAGTATATACTATTGATAAGTGTTGGACAATCTTTTGTCATTAAAATTGCATATCCCAACAACCATAGTGCCACAGCAAGTATCATCTAGAAAAATAGCATAAATAAATTAAAGCAGAACAGTGGGAAACATACGAAAGTCTCCAAGAAACCATTCAAGAACTGAAATGAAGGCGAGGTTACATTCTTGTCATTCGCCAACCTATGATAGTTACCTTTAAAAAGGTTCAATTAATGACAGTTAGGTCTTCAATAAAATTTTCCAAAAAATAAGGTGTTATAATACTTATTTGCAATTGAAATTCTTGAATTTGCAATTATTTGAATCCATATTTTCAATTTATTTTTCAAAAATTTTATCAAGGATCTAACTATCATTAACTTAATATTCTGGAACCTAATTGTCATTAATATTTTGAAACCTAACTGTCATTGTCCCCTAACTTTTGTGTCTCCGTTATTGAAATTTCTTCCTTCATTTGATTCTGTTTTTTAATTACACACGTTTTTCTTAGTACTGTTGCTAGTTTTACATTAGCCCGTCAATTTTTTGGGTTACTCAATGAGTTAGTCCTAGCTATTCATCTACGTACCCATACTAATGGGAGATTTGCGTTGAATACAAAAGACAGGCACGTAGGTAATGCGGGCCAAATAAGTTATTAAAAAAGGGTGCAATGTTGGAACTTAAAACACAAATTTGGGGCCTTCTGATAATATTGGACAATTGCAATTTCACATTTTCCATTTATTATTTACATTTTCTTTCTCTCTTGAAGAGAATAGTTCGGTATCGCCAAAGGGATCAAGAGATATTTCACGTGACGCTTATAGCAATCTTGGAGTCAAGGTCCGACGCCAGAAGTACTCAACAAAAGTAAGGAGGAAGATTGAAATCAATTTTTCTCTAGATCTTTATATTTGTCCACTAGTACAGAAATAACTTTTTACACTCTGTTTTTGCATAGGTTAAAATGGAACTGGATAGAAAGTTTTTGCAATGACAAGTTTGTAAATAAATGTCATTGTATTTACTTTCTACACCATTTAATAATATAATTAACTAGTGTAAAAAAAAAATTACTTTCTACGCCGGTTGTTGAATAACTAGTATAGAAAGTTTAAAATCTTAAAAAAAATAGAAATTAAGTACTTTCTTTCTACATGAGTTATATATATTTATAATCAGGTGTAAAAAGTAGCTGGAAAAATTTTAAGAAAATTCACTGACTTTCTAAACTGGTTAAATACAAATAAGTGTAGAAAGAGAATGGTTGAAGTGCCTGCGGAGGTTCCTGCTGATGAGGTATGACAGTTATATTCTTATTTATAACTTGTGTTTTACTTACATTACATATTGATACAGCAAGCAATTTTTTTTAATAATTCTTAATTATTTAGCATATTGGCACATCCAAGAAAGTGACTCCATCAACTCAATCCCAACGCCGGATGAATCCGTTCCCACTTCAGTTTCTACAGCTAGCTAATGATAAGAACTTCAAAGATGTGACGTTACCAATTGATCAGGAGGTTTTGGGTTTAAATGACAAAACTGTCAGAATTGAGAAGGAAGATTTGATTCGAATTCTGATACAAGATGAAGTTACCATACAACATATGCATCTGTATATGATGTAAGTATTTTTTTTTAAAATTTTTTTGAATTGAATATCTAAGCATTCAACTCTAGAGACGAAATTAATGTTCATGATTATTGTAGGTATCTTTATCGCCACTGCGCCTCTTTGGGCAAAAGTGACAAATTTGGATTCATTTGCCCACTTCACATCCAAGATATTGGGAATGAAAAAGAAATAAAAGTTAATTATCTTCAGAATAGGCTCAGTGAAGACCGAGACTGTTATTTGGCACCATTTGTTCTTCCGTAAGAAAACATTATCAATTGATGATATATATGCTGCTGTGAAATTTTTATAATGAATTCATACACTATTTTTCAGGAACCATTGGCAATTAGTAATTCTTTGTCCGAAGGAGAATGTCATTTTCTTTTTATGCTCTACTCACAGTGAACCGGGAGAGGATTTGAAAGAGACAATGAATACGTAAGTTACTTTTGTTTGTGATGTGTAAGCTATTGTATAATATAACATATATAACTTCATTCATGTATTTCATCACAGGGCTATGGAAGCATACCAAACCATGAAGGATAAAAAGAAATCATATCAACCGAAGGAGCCTAAATGGATAATGCCTAAGGTAAGTTGTTGGAAAACGAACACTTTAAGGACCTAGCTATATTCAATCATTTCTCCTTTCTTTGATTTTGCCACTAATTATATGTTTTAATCTATAGAGTCATAGACAACCAAAGGGAAGCAATGCATGTGGATACTACGTGATGAAACACATGCTCAATATTGTCACCTTAGGCAATACTAAATTTTCTAAAGAGGTAATTGTATTTTTGAAATTTTTTTTAATTTTTTTGTAATAAGTTAATGTTATGTTTCGTTTTGAATCTACAGATGTTTAACATTCAGGATCCATTGTCTGATGAGGAATTAAAAGAAATCCGGGTTCGTTGGGCAAACACTTTTTTAGAACTCACAAACCTGTGAGTTCAATTTTTTTAGCATAATGTAGTCATTACTCTGTGTGTGTGTGTGTGTGAAGTAGTTGATTGCTCAATCTCTTTGTTAAACTCAAGTACGTAGTTGGATTCAAATAATTTGAACTACCTTTGTACAAATCTGTGTGTGTGTGTGTGTGAAGTAGTTGATTGCTCAATCTCTTTGTTAAACTCAAGTACGTAGTTGGATTCAAATAATTTGAACTACCTTTGTACAAATCTGTGTGTGTGTGTGTGAAGTAGTTGATTGCTCAATGTCTTTGTTAAACTCAAGTACGTAGTTGGTATTCAAATAATTTGAACTCCTTTGTTAAAATCAAACTATAATTTATGCTAGGGTTAAAGTCCATTTTTCCTTGCACTTTTTTGATAAGCGCTAGGCATTCTATAGTGATAAGTGGGGCAATGTTTCCCAAAACTTTTTTTTTTTTGGGAAGCAATTTATCAAAGAATTGTCAATCACGTGACCTGCCAAAATGTATTACGTGTGGGTGCATTGATCACCCCTTGAAATTTCACCCAAATTTAATATTTTGTTGTTTTGATATTTTTCAACTTTGTACTAAAAAAATGGAGGGGAACCTTTAAATTAATGGATAAAATTAATGTTATTGTCTATTTGAATTTACAACTCATTTTTTCCAATTTTAAAATTTGAAACATTGCATTATTTGAAGATACCAATAAGAACTTAAGGGAATTACTTTGCATTTTAAGATTTGTTGGGACTTTACTTGAATAAAATGATTTCTTAAGTGTTATTTCTTTTTTTGAGTATCAATTACTCTAGATATATCATAATTAATATATTTTAGCCTAGTTGGAAAATTGAGCAAGTTACACTTTGATTCTATTCCTCTCTTCCTTCATGTATAAAAAAAGGAGCAATATTACCCCTCTGTTAAGTTTCAAGTAATTTGATTGTTAGTTGACAAAAAAAAAATTATATAGAATAACCTAGAAAATTTAAGAGACTTAATTAATATTAATTTTCGTGTAAAGTCCTTTTATATCATTTATTTGTAATCATTATTATTAGGGAGAATGACAGAAAGGTTTTAAAAAGACTAATTAATTTAACTTAGGTCACAAGCGCCAACTTTAAGAAATTTGTAAATTCATCTCTCAATTTTGAAATTTCCTTATGATGAATTTGTAACTTGTTTTTTAAATTTTAACATGGTTGAAGAATAAATAATTTTTTTTTCCTATTAAAATTTGGAAAACACAAGTTGTAAATTCATCACAATAAAGTTGCAAATTTGAGAGCCGAACTTGAAAATTCTAAAATTGACATTTGAGACCTAAGTTGAATTAATTAATCCTTTCAGGACCTCTCTGTCATTCTTTCTTATTATTATTTACAAATCTCCATACATATTTACATGTCACCTATAAATATAAGAAAAACTAGTTGATTTATTAATATTTGAAAGATAATTTATAAATTTTTTATGAATATTTATAAAAAAATAAAATAGTTAATATTATAACAAGATTTCAAGGTGCTTAGCAAGGTACGTAAAACCGGACCGGTCATTAAACCGGTCATGGCATTGGGTCACGGGTTAGTGGTTCAATCAGGGTTGAACCGGGGGTTGAACCGGTGGCAAACCGGTCATGATTAAAATAATACAATTTAAATAAAAAGACATTAATTATAAAAACATTCAACCAAATCCAACCACTCAAAAGTCTAACAATAATAAAATACTATATTTTTGGACTTAGCATGCTCTATCTCTAATTTTTTATTTTTTGACTTTAATTTTACTTTTTTTGTTATTTTTTTCCGAACTCAGAGCTGTGAAAAATTAAAAATGAAAAAAAAAATCAAAAACGACGTCGTTTTGGGGTAAAAGTCTGAAAAAATATTAACCCGGTTAACCCAGTCAACCCACCGGGTTATCCGGGTTATACCGGGTTGAACCCGGGTTGACCGGGTTACACCGGTTCATTCCCTCACCGGGTTAAGTGCAAACCCAGACCGGACAGGGGACCGGTTCACCGGTTTCCGGGTTGACCCGGCCGGTCCGGTCCGGTTTTCAATACCATGGTGCTTAGTGCTCTTGCAAAAAACATTTAGGGCCAAATTAACACTTTAAGCCTACAATAATAAGCAAAGTCAGATGGTCAATGGGCCCCAAACATAATGCACATACATTGATAGATTATGGTGAAATTGATAGTTCTTAATGGAAGGATAAAATTTCTCCTTGAAAAATAGTTCAGATAAAATTTCTCCTTGAAAAATAGTTCAGGGGGAATATTGCCCCACTTATCAATATAAGTTGCCCAAAACTCCTCAGAAAAAATTCAGGGAGAAAAATGGTCATTAATCTTTTATGCTATTGTGTTTTTTTGGGCTATTTTTGTTTCTAGAAATGTAAACAAAGAGATTGATTATCATTAAGATAGAATATAGAAAAATAACCTTGGTTATATTATTACAATCAAGGTAGAGACACTAGTTAAATGAACAACTAATAAGACTTTCTACACCAATTATTATTACCACTTGAGCCATCAGTTTACTTTGGCAAAGAATATATGAATATAATTAACTTACCTAGACACAATTTTTTTTTAAAAAATTGAGTTATTACATTCACCTCTCCTTAAAAAATTCAGGTCTCCGAATTTAAACAAGTGCTTACCTTAGTTTTCAAATAAATATGGATACTTAGCACACATTTCACTTTCAACTTCACATGTAGCTTATTCTTGAGAATGATTGCATCACAACATTTCACTGAAGCAATTCCTTTGATCACCACTCCTTTACTTGCCTATCAAGAATAGTAATGGGGACTTCTTCATAAGATAAGTTTTGGATCTATTTGAATCTCGTGATTCTCGATTGATCACATGAGAAAGATCATACAAATATTTACTTAGCATTGATATGTGAAATATTTCATAACCTAAAAATTTGAGTCATGATTGGTGCATAGGCTAAGTAAACACAATACCACCTAGCCTAGCTAGCCTATGACAAAGTTCAACCACATCAACCCAAATTTATAGAACTTTTAAAAGAGACTAACTTTTATTAAAAAAACATAATCACAGTTGCATAAAAGTACTAAGCTTTAAAAAAAATTAAAGTAATCAAAATCAATGAACAAATATTTGGATGTCAATTAAATAACTGTTTGATGTTATTATTGAACTGACACAATACTATGACATTAGTTCTCCATAGTAGTCACAACACTACAATATTCCACATTATCTTTATTCTAACTTATCCTACCTAATTCATCTGTAATGTTTAACCCTAGAGCAGTTTACTCAACAATTCGCTGATTTGTAAATAATGAATGTAAAAGGGTGAGTCTACCATTGGCCCAGTGAAGCACAAATAGCAAAGTGTGTAGAAGGGAAGCAAAAGGTGCACATGATGAGTTTTTTCATAAACAAATTTTTCAAGAAAAAGATTAAATACCACTATGATCAAGAATGACATTCATAATGTAACCTCCTTGAGGTTAAACCACAACTCTACTCCAAATCATATTAATCTGAGGTTTTAAAAAGAGAATTTTCTAAAAATCATTTCATAGGAATCCCAATTTGCCTATTCAAAAATCAAACATAATTTAAGGACTCCAAATCAAAGTTTTGGAAACAAAGCGAAAGCTTGAAAATCAACTGGGACTCAAGTAATAAGTTTTAAAACTCAAAAACAAGTTATGTGTAGAAATGACACGTGCGCCGTGGCTTACAGCTCATGCGCCACGATGTGTCTTCTCTGTGCCATATAAGTGATGTCATTTGACAGCACAAGGAGCGGACTTTCGACGCATCCCAAATCTCCGTCCGACGTCTGATTGATGGGGTTTCGGTATCTACATGGAGCTTTTTTCTAGCTCTAGCTAATGGCACAAGTTTCACATTCAAACTCATTTTCTATAATAAGTTGGACACCAAAACCTATTTTTTACCACATTTTCACAAAATCTCCCAAAAGGGATGTCCCAAACTCAACCACCTGTGCCAATAACTTACATAAAACCATCTGACCACACTCAATGGACTCTTGCGAAACTATGCAACACACCACACACAATCAAAAATGCTATTTCACAAAATCACCACTTAACCCCAATTTTCATAAAACATAGAGGGGGAGGAAAAGTTGCATAAAATCAACCATTTCATTCATATTTCTCAAAAAATACTATATGTTCCTACTTGCACAAGTATTTTAGCCTATCTACGGGTTCACAACAAAAACTCACTAACCCAGGGTAAAAAATACACTAGTTAAATACAAAATCATGCAAGTAGTGCACCAATCATGGCAATTAATCCTAGTTGGCAAAGACATTAACAATTACACATGTAAATAGCAAAAGAGAGGCATATAGAGGATTACTCCACCAATGCCAAGCCTCTATATGTTTTCCCTGACTCGAATCCGATAAGCTAGGTCTTAAAAATATTGAGAATTGAGGGTGAGTACAACCACTAGTAACCAAGTTTCACTTAATCCTTACAGTTATATATTAATTGTAAATAGATGCAATTTAGCACATAAAACACATATATCACATATCATTAGGCCATGGTTCACAAAACTAACAACCATATGACCGAGCTTACCACAGAATACCATATCATGATATTTTCAAAACACATAACTCAAGGTCCCAAAAATAACAACCATGCGCTCTTAACACATGCTGGACCACAAAACTAACAACCATGTGGCCAAACTTTTATGCATGATCATATGCCAACCTTATATCTTCCTATACCTCTAACATAAAAACCGGTGGCTATCACGTGGCTACATACTTCATGAACTAACCCAGCCTTCCACTTGTGAGGAGCTACCGGGCCAGGGTTAACTCACTCACTTATGTAATCCAGTTTCCCCTAATACTAACAACCATGGGGTGTCATTCCCCTAATCTAGCCTCCTTATGAATAGGTGGAGACTAGTTAGGTTCGAGTTCCTCGTAGAACCATTGCGACAGTCCCAAAACAACCATGAAACAAGGGCTACCTCCCGATTCCAATGGTTGGTGCCATGGCTAGTTCCCGATTCCAACCGGTCACTGCCAATACCATGTGAATTTCAACCAATCTACTCCTCTACCTAGGCGAACTCCTGCCAATAATCATGCTATGCACATTTCACACATAATATACATTTCAACAATCATTTCTCAACACATGAATGAACTCACATAACACATATGCTCATAATTAATTCATATTTCATCATAATTCTCCACCCATAGTAA